GATGTAATTGTGCAATGATTTTCTGAATAAACTCAAATTAAATCAAATTATTATTATTATATTATTATTATTATTATATTATTAAATCAATCAATCAATTAATCAAGCAATCAGTCAGTCACTCACCCATCCACGTACCTAAACAACCACTCACTCACTCAATCAATCAATCAATCACTCAATCAATCAATCAATCAATCAATCAATCAATCAATCAATCAATCAATCAATTTTCAATCATGGTCATTATTACACCCAGGACATTGCATTTAGGACCTTCATATATTTATTTATACATTCTTTCATTAAATAATGTATGCATGTTTGTGTTGTCTTCCTTTTCCCTTCTCTCACGAGACATAGAACCTCTCATCGCTCTACAGGTAAGTTCCGAATTTGACGCTTGACGCTTGATCTTGATTTACTAATTCTGGCAACACCAACACACATAGTTTGAATTCTGGCAACAGAATTAGGCTCGATCACCAATTCGCCACAAAGAGTATAAATAGAACGAGAGAGTCAACAACGCTCATTGACAGCGTAAAAAAACGATACGCCCTACGCAGCTAGTGTAGGACGCCAACTAACGCTTGTATGTTTTTTATTACCCAGTACTCCACCGCGCACGGTCGGTTTGTCTGTTTATCTGTTCTCCACAAGATACTTTACTTTTGTTTTCTGCTTACTGAGTTTATAGCGGGCGTACTTCTACCGCGCTGCGCAGCGCCGCACTGGGTAATAAAAAGAACATACAACCGTTAGTGGGCGTCCTACACAGGCGTGACATTTTTACGAATGGGACTTTGCTCTCTTGTTCTATTTATACTCTTTGTTCGCCATCATATTGTCGCTGAACACGGAGAGGAAGGATGGAACTATAATAGTTTAGGCATTGAAAGCGTGGTGTTAGTAATAAAATGCTAAAATCTGGCGTTATTAGTGGCAGAACTGGATGAAAGATCATTGTAAGATATTGTTAGTAGTGCACAGTAGGTAAAAATACTATTTTTGAAGATAGAAGTGTTACAGTACTAAAGTGCATTAGCGCCCAGTTAGGCCTATGTAGGCCTAGGCCTATGTGTGTACTGTTACCATGAGCAAATACCTAGGCCTAGAGGGCCAGGCCTACTCTGCCACAAAAACAACACAAGTCCCGACATTCGACACAAGCCCCATCATTCAACAACAGTTCGACAATGATAGAGAACAAGGCTACCTCCTAACGAGGGCACGACATATTACTGTTTGTATTATTCAACCAAACATTTAATGTCTGTTTGATGTCTATCAGCGTAATTTTTCTATAGAACTTAAAAAAAAACATAAGCCTACCTTCTTCTCTCGTTCCGAACAAAAATATAACAAACGTGTGTTGAACACCGTTGTTGCCACTCATGGATCCGAAAACATATGGACCGGATTGTCATTATATTTACACGTTTCAGCGGATTCAGGTTACATGCATATTCATATTGGACTGCACCATTTTTAGTAAACTTTATTTCATAAAATTAAAACACGGGTAGCACGTCTTTTTATATACTTTAATTTGTTTATTTACACTTACATAAAGTTAGTCTAGTGCTACCAGTGCTTTATGTTATACGTCTTATCTACTATTAGCATTTTTTCGGAATCTACAATTTTAAAGATGCGCTGTCTGCCGTCATAAGCTAAAATTGAATTTCATATTTTCATTGCTTAATTTGTATTTCATTAAGTTATTTACTTACAATTACAAATTTGAATATGATCAAATTTCCTCGACAGTTAAAACTTACCTTTTGCCTAGGTTCTTAAATTAAGTTGGTAACCAATTTAAGAATTTTTGTAGAAAAGTCTGTTAAATTGATCATTTGAATGAGCTATTCAGAAACTCACCCATCCACGTACCTAAACAACCACTCACTCAATCAATCAATCATTGTTTGTTAATATGACAAGTCTGGGGTATTTTGTTCCCTTTTCTCCAATTCGATATTGTATAAATGTGTATATGTCTATTTTGTAATGATGAATAAAAGTGATGAGAATAAAATATGTGTTCACCAAACTTTAACGTAAGAATACAAGGGTTTCTGCCTGAATTATTCTTTTCTTCATGCCTGTATCAACGTTATAATAACCATGCAGCCCTGCATGTATAGGCCTATAAATTTAAAGAAATAAATATTTGTTGTTCATTTGTCGTTATTTTTCCCAACACTTTGCGGGGCTGCAAAGACCATGATTAGGCCCCTACGTCGTTTTCTGCCAAAAAAAAACCCGATAAAATATTGCTATACTACTACGATTTTAATGTTTTCCATGATTATGACGTCATCTGATTTGATTTGTCAATTAAATATGTTGTTCATATCGCAACTGATCATCGTTCTAGTGTAAAAACTTCTCTTATTTCTTTTATTTTCTATGAACAATTGCTTTATCCTTACAAATGTGATTCGGAATAAAATACTAAATGGGATTCGGCAAATTGGATACCAGATAGACTTAGTATGAATGAAAACAAGGCCGCCGACTATGGGGTGCCATACGCAGCAAAAGTCCATGTTAAAATAAAAATGTAATTGCAAAATTCAATGTCTAATTTATCAAACCGTAGGCGTAAATTTCTCAAAATGTAGATGAAGTTCAAATTTTTCAAAATGTAGTTCTAATTTCTTTAAAATGAAATTCAAATGCAAAACGTAGGTCTGCCTTGATCAAACGCCCTCTCCAAATTCTATTCCAAAACGTAAATCAAAAATCAGCCTGGTTATGAAATGCATTTGACAACAACACTAGAAACCGACTTTTGCTGCGTATGGCACTAGACTTGCGAAATGTAAATCAAAACAAATCAGCCAAGCATGACGTGGGCCTGTTCCATTAATGATGGGGGAATCATTTTTCGCTGCAGTCCAATGCCGTGAACAACGCTTCCTAGTGCGTCTGCTAATTTTGAATGGTCAGGGTACCGCGATCACGAGCCC